TTAAATGAAAAGGAGATTTAGATTGGACTTCAGGGGGAATTTTTTTTTTTCTTACTGAGTGGTGAGGTGCCCAGAGAGGCTGTGGATGCCCCATCCCTGGAGGCATTTAAGGCCAGGTTGGATGGGGCCCTGAGCAGCCTGATCTAGTAGCTGGCAACACTGCCTGTGGCACAGGAGTTGGAACCTGACGATCCTTGAGGTCCCTTCCAACCAAATGCATTTAATGATTCTATCAGGATCAATAATCAATGCTGTTAAAGCCTTGTGGCACATCCTTGTTTTCCTTCAGTCTCTGGCCTTATGTTCAGCTTCCTCTTGCTAAATGCAAGCCATTTATTCCAGCCTGGGACCATGCACAAGGAGCCCAGAGCAAAGTCTGATATAAGGGAAATACAGGGATGCAGATGTGTTTGAGGCTTCTAAAGCTGATGCTGATTTCTGAGAGGTCATACAGAACCTTTGATAAAATGTTGGTAGCTTCCTCAAAGTGTCCAGAAATTTCAGTTAAGGGGCCTTCATTGTCATGGGATACAAAAACATTGTCTCCCAGAACCTTCTCTCCAGTGGATGCAAGCAGCAGACTGCCCCCCAGTCATGCCTCTGTGGTGCTGGTGGGCTTGATATCAAACCAGACAATACTTTTTATTATCTACTATTATCTATTTTATCAAGTGACTGCAATTTTTGACGACTAACACTAAGTCCAACAACTTCTGATCTAGCATTTATTTAGGCAGAAAATGTCACACTGTTGACACTGTCAAGTCTTGTAGTTCTGGAGCATCAAATGAGGAGTGTCAGATCTGCAACCTTACCAACACAGCTCAGTCACACCGGATTAAAGGCAGAGCTCAGTCTTGAGAACTTTCAGCATTTAGTCTCCTGATGATGACTGCCAATCATGACTAAAAATAGCAATTTTTTAAATATATCCATTTACTTACTGAGAATCAGTGTGCGCCTACAAACTCCTTTTCCACACTAAATGGTCATCATATGACAGTGATCTTTGGGCAATAATAAGTAACATTTAAAGCAGCATCTAAAAGCAACAGTCTCTGCCACCACTCTAGTTTTCTGATTTCCCCGCAAAGATGTATTTCAGTGAGGCTGAAGTCCCTTTCCCTGTCAGAGGACCATCACCATTAAAGGTGATTTTCAGAAGTCAGTATGTAATAAACAAGAGCTGAGTCATCTCAAAACTGTAACCAGATTGTGCATCCTGCAGCTGTAAAACATACATACATATGAAAAAGCCAGGTGTCAGGGGGTTGGCAGACTTTGTGATACCCTTGCAGAAGCAAGAGGACACACCGGGAACACTCTGAACACTGCACTCATACCTGTAAAATTTTTTAATCAGATTCTTAATTCTCAGCTGCTCCTATGTCTACGACACAGCTTTGAACAGAAGAACAAACATGACATTTATGAATGGCTGTTTTCCAGTACAACCAGTGCAGACTCTGTCCATTTTAAACAAAGGAAAGCAAACCGCTACCACAGATGTGGAGTTTGACATCCACAGAACCACAAGACCTAAATGACAGCAAGCTGTAACACTTTTGGAGGCAAATGTCACACCATACGCCAGTGTATCTGACATAGTCTAAAGCAGCAATGGCAGCTCATTACTACAGCCACATTATAGCCATGGTCCATTAGCATACAGCAGTCTTAACACTTCCTTTCTTCTAGACAGGGTCTTAATAGGTCCCCTGCTCCCCCTGAAGGTAGAAGCCCTAAACTTACTTTGAGCTGTGTGAACCAGCAGCATCAGCTCAGCCAAAACACCACAGGGAAGAATCTCTCTCCGTGGCCTCTTTCTCAGAAAAAAATCACCAACTAGCAGGCCTCAGCACTGTCTGTATTACATTTTCATTAGACCTGCAGAGTTTGATGGGGAAATTAAAAACTGAAAGGACAGAGTCAGATGACTGACCCTGGATAACATCTAAGCAATTCAATCATGTCTTTCCCATTGCAGGCTTAGACAGCAGGATATCGTAACTCAAATCGATCTGTTTGCTGCTCTAGCTGATAATGGTCTGGCGCTGAATGAAAAATTTTATTATTACTACATGACTCAGACTCTCTGAGCAGGCAGTTTAAGATATGAGAGTCTTCATTAGAGAATTAGATTAATAAATCGTATTTCTCTTGAGACACATTGTGTATTTGATTGTCAACACCCTGATTGAGGCTCACCAGGATACAGGGAGATCTACGCTGAAACAGGTCTGAAGGTATCACCAGAAGACACATACTTGGCAGCTTGAAAATAACCTTTATATTTCTTTATACTTTTCTCTGAACTCATGTGTTGTAATAAAAAATACTGTGCTTCTAATACACGGCTGAACATAAACATTTTTTAGCCTTGCATGTAGATCATTTCCAGTGCTAGATGTTCACAGGAGGGCTATCCAGATAAAAATCTTACAGCAATAATGCTCTTTGGCTCATACTGTTATCTCTATTTAACTGATGTGATAACTGAGGCAGAAACATATTGAACCTTTTGTCCAAGGTCGCACAGTGAGGTCAGGAATGGAGCTAAAGCAGACTCCCACTCTTCCAGTTCACTGCTTTGCTTTAAACCAGCCAATCTCTCTTTCAGCTCTTTGTCACTGATGCAAAATTACAAAAGAATATTAATACGCTGTTACAATTAAAATTGCAAATCCCTTATGTAAAAAGAACGCAGGTTAGGATCAAAACCAAATATATGAAAACCCCCCAGCAGATCCAGCCCATCAGATGCAGAAATACTGCACCACATCATCCCATCACGTTAAAAATATTTCACAGCATAAGGTACTTGAATAACTTTCAGTGTACTGCCACTCCTAACTAAAAGGAGTTAAGATTACTATAAATTACACAATCAGCCAGAAGCATGTAGCTTACACAAATTCCTTCAATCACGTTACAACCAACCTTTTCATTTGTGCATGAAGTTCAAAAGAACAAAAAAAGCAATAGATCCAATTTCTACAGTATTTTTCAAGTGTTTTATGAATAGAAAGTAATCACCTCAACAATTCCATGACAAAACATTACAAGCAGCTAATTCAACACAAGATGATGTGAAATGAAAGCTGTATCTTCAGATCTAAGTATTAGCAAAAGGCTTTTACATGCTTCAGAGGCCAAAAAACCACACAAACACCCATCAGTTGAAACATCCATCCAACTGAACTCAAGCAGTAACAGAATCCAAAAGGCCAATGGCTTACTGGGATGCATTAAAAAGAGCATGTCCAGCAGGTCGAGGGAGGTGACCCCCCCCCCTCTACTCTGCCCTGGTAAGACCTCATCTGGAGTACTGCATCCAGTTCTGGGCTCCCCAGTACAAAAAAGACAGGGATCTCTTGGAAAGAGTCCAGTGGAGGGCCACGAAGATGGTGAGGGGCCTGGAGCATCTCTCCTATGAGAAAAGGCTGAGTGAACTGGGTCTGTTCAGCCTTGAGAAAAGAAGACTGAGAGGGGACCTGACCAGGTCTATAAATATCTAAGGTGTGGGGGGCAGAATGGCGAGGCCAGACTGTTTTCAGCGGTGAGTGGAGACAGGACAAGGGGAAACGGCTGGAAACTGCAGCATAGGAAGTTCTGCACAAATGTGCACAAGAACTTCTTTACAGTGAGGTGACGGAGCACTGGAACAGGCTGCCCAGGGAGGTGGTGGAGTCTCCTTCTCTGGAGATGTTCAAGACCTGCCTGGATGCCTACCTGTGCGACCTGCTGTAGGGAACCTGCTTTGGCAGGGGGGTTGGACTCCATGATCTCTGGAGGTCCCTTCCAACCCCTACAATTCTGTGATTCTGTGATCCCCTGGACTATTTATCCTTGCTATGAAGCTGAGGTTTTCAGTGCTAACCTTTGCTTCCAGTTACATGTGAGACAACAAACACCTAAAGGCTCTTCACTATTTGCAGCAGTCCCACCCACATTTTCTTCCCTGTCCTCAACTCAGCATGGAATAATCTTTGGTGTTTTTGGATAAGACACGCTGTGCTACATTTACCCCATGGTGCACTCCCATTTCTCAAGAAGAAACACAACTTCTTTTCTATTTAACTTTGGTTACAGTTAGCAACTCTTATTTCCAAGAGAGTGTGCACTGAAGTTCAAGTTAATTGACTTATCAAGTCCTCCTACCAGCTTTCTAGATCAGCTGCCTTTTTACCACAGGTGTATTTTTTTTTTTTCTCTCAACTTCAGAACCACACCAGTGAAGAGAATGAGATAACAGCACCCAGCATGAAATATACGGTTTGATAATCTACTTAACAAGATTTGATAAGGTGGCATGATTTTGAAAAAGGGCTTAGTTAATTCAGAAACCATAGAAAATCTGTGGAACTCGGTCATTTCAGAAATCCCATTCCTACTCAGAATTCAAATATCTAAATAGAAGTGTTCCACTGCTCATAGGATCTTGATATCTCACACCTCCTCACTTTTGGGTCTTAGGAGAGACTGGGGCTTCCCTGAGAAGTTTAAGACTGGTGTGAAACTGAGACTTTTTTTTTTTTTTTTTAACAGCACATGATAATTTTGTAAAGAGCAGTATTTTCAAGATAGGCATCAGAACAGCCTGTTAACTTTTTATAGAGTTGCTGCAACAATATGTAAAGCATGAATACTTATTTATAATAGCAGATGTGGAGGGTCTTCCATTTCTGTGCCCTCCACACCAACTACCAAGAAGCCTTCCAGAAAAGAGAGATAAGGTGCAGAGGGATGTTGAGAGTAAGCTACATGATCCGTCTGAGGTCTGGCTGCAAAAATAAACTACAGGCCTGCAACCAGAAGACAAGACAACCACCACAGCTGATCTGAGAGTACAGAGAGGCCTCAGTTGAGGCCAGCATAACCAGAAAAAGTCTGGCTGTGCTGCAGAAGGCTAAGCTATGTATGATGAAAGATTCTGACAGTTCACCAAGAGTGCAACAGCCCAGACAGCCATTCATCAGCAATGTACCACTGTAAAATGAGAATACAGGAAGCAGCAGGATCTGCAGAAAAACATTTCTCATTGTCCATTCACTATCCAACAGGGACACACACACATACACACACCAAGACCACGAACTGTGACACCGATCCGCTCAATCAAGTCAGGGACAGTAATTTCGAGAGTAAGAACAGCTAGCACAGCTCATTACAGACAAATATCTTTACCCAACTTTCCAGATTTCTTAGGTTATTCATATTCTCCTACAAAGAAGCTCAGAACAGGTTTTTGGTTAGCAGCCTTCCCCTAATACCACCCAAGACGTTTTAATAAAGAATTTAAAAGCTGTATTATAACGAAGGATATTTTTGGCAGAGAGCCTTACTGACCTGCGGTGCTAACAAAATATTACCCAGTTGTAGAAAATAGCACAAAGTTCCACTTCATTTTTAGCATTGTACACTTGGTATAAATTGCTAGCTTATTAAAGTCTAGTGCTCAAAACGGAACAACTCTGATTCTTTTTTCAGCCTTAATGAGAGACTTGGACAAAAAACTGAATTTATTTCTAATCAACATCTTGCTTTGATTTAGCAAAATATGGATCACATCTCTTTGGATGCCTTTTATAAAAGAAGCGTGTCCCAGCCATCTCCCTGCAAAACCAAGAACAGACTTAGAGTGCTGCTGACAATCAGATCCAATTGCAACACATGACTTGCCACAGAGTGGTTATTACATTTGCTACGTAGCTGAGATATAATTCACAGCACACGTGACTGAGAGCAATTCATTACGTAAGTCAAATTCCAGTTCCTTTACTAACTTTAAACAGGACTTTGCTTTGAAAGTAATCACTGTGATCTCAATACTACTAAATGGAAAATACTTAACAGGAGCCAGAATGACTCAGATACATTCTGTACTATAGCTACAAACTTTTCTTCACTTGTATTTCTAAATAGGTTGTACACACACCAGGACTTAGCATATATAAACAGGTGAAAAAAAATACAGATAGATCCAGATCTCCTAGTCACAATACATTATTTGCATGACACTTACATTTACTTTAACCACTAGAACATCAAGTGCACTGTATCTTAAAGGTCCCTCCATCACGGTCTTTTTCAACCTCGGTGATTTTATGATTCTATGATAACCTTGCTTCATAATGCAACTCCAATGTGGCTTCTGATACCTTTATTTGAGACAGATATTTTCACTGTAAGTTCATTGGGGAGTTTCACTGACTACACAGGTTATGAATGACAGAAGGCCACTGAAATACTCAGTCACTTCTTCCTCAAAGACAAGCCAGTAACACAGTCTGAAGAGACACACATTTCAGGCAAAGATCACTCTTGAAAACAGGCACAGTCACTGCACATGCACTTTACATGCTTGAAGAGTCAATTAGCTTGAAATTCTGATAGAAAACAGCATACAGAAATACTAAACACAGCTGCCTATCTTCCAAACATACATTAGTGCAACTGCTGTGAAGATGGTGTCCAAAAGTTGCAGGTTATACTCTGTTTACAAGATGCTAACTGAACAGAGGAACATTTGTAACATTCAGTGTGATCAAACAGAAGGGGAAGACAGGTTTGGACAATGCCTTTAGCTTATACTTCTCCAGATCTGAAGAGAAATATATCAAATTACAGTACCAGTAAAAATCTTCATGATTCCCCCCCCCCTCCCATATGGAAACTGTTAAACTCACCCAGCCTGCAACTAAAACATGAAATGATGATATCTATTTATAATTATAATATCTAATTTCATTGCCTCCATCTTGATATTTCTGCTTGTGGCTTCTGTGTGGTACGTTAGCATTTGCTATTTAACAAAAAATGGCAAACCCTTTGAGACAGCGTTTATGCTTGTTTTATGCTCATCTCCAGACTGCTTACAGTATCATGCATATCCAATTACATACCTCAAGAAATTAAAAATAAAAGCTGGAACGATTAGCATAACAAACAGCTACAGTAAGATTTGCATTTTTTTGTTTCCTTACAAAAGCCACAGAAACTGTTTCTTCTTTTGTAGTTTTGTCTTAGAACAATGCTACAGACTGCAGTGCACTAACAACTGATTTACACTGGCATACAACAATAATAACCGTTTGTTCCAGCTTTCAAGACTTGTGCTAGAATACTTACACATCTCTAACCGTGATTTATGGATAACTTTATTTTCACATAAATATCATCATAGTATTTTATCATCTGGTTTAGGTAAGACTGAAGAAATCACTAGAGAATTTGCAAACTGATCTGAAGTCTAGCATTTCACTTCCATAATAATGTGACGCTCCCATGTTTTGAGGAAATGCAGCAGGTATATGGCAGTCATACCACACTGTAATATTTCAGTTCACATAGATTTCAATTCATAGACACTGCATTATTATTATTTATTTATTTTTAGCATTCCTTATCACTCAAGCAAGTACTTACAGGATCAGAAGGACCACAAAAGTCTCTGAACACTTTTGGAAGTTCAGGCTGTATAATCTCCATTGCTATGCAAGGGCCTGAACACAACTCTGTAACCATCTCCTGGAAAAGAAAAAAGACCAAAACAAATCTGAGCTTTCAGCACGATGGAAGGTTGCATTCCCCCAAAAAACTTGATCCAATCATACCAGATAGGAAATTAGAAAAGAAATACTGGTTGATTTAGGCAAGCAAAGACGTGAAGCAAAGATATCATTAGTATTCATAAATACATACATATATATACATATATATATAGCACATTTTGTAACTTAGTTTACATGGTGGAGATGGAGATAAATTGAACATTCTATCTCTGGGATACTGAACAACAGGCAACAGTATCCACAATACCTTAAATTCTTTTACAGGTGCATTATTACTAATCTTGACTTGTATTTCACAGAACTGCCTCCTAACTTGTCAGTCTAAACTGAATCAATACTACACTTTGCAAGGCGTAAGTCTGAAAAATGACACCATGTTGAGCAAGTTCCACAGACATCATGTTTAACAACATTCCCTATAGGAAGCACAGGACACAGCCTATATTTGATGGCTTAAAGTCAAGAAAACATCTCTTGGGCTTTTGGTTCTGTCATTTCTTTGTATATTATGGAAGCTGAAACACACAGGACAATAAAACCAGGAATTTAAATTGAAAGGAGTGCATGGCACATCATTTCAGGAAAAAGATCCTTGATCTAGCAGTATTTCTTGTGTATGCTCTTACCAGAATCTTGGTTACACTGAAATAAACCTTTTTGCTGGAGCCTCCTGAAGTGTAAAGAGATATCCTCGAGTCCTCAGTAGATGATAAATACAGGTTTTTAGTTTTTGCAAGCTTAGGCTATCTCCAGACATTAGTGCCAATTTAGAGTTTGTCAATTAGAGGCATAGATTTCAGAAGCAGAAATATGCCACCTTAGTCTAAATTGATTTAAAAAAACAAAAACAAACAAACAAACAAACAAAAAAAACAAAAAAAACCCTGCCTTTGTAATTTCGTTCTTGTCCACCAGAAATTTGGGCAGGCAAGTTTTAAAGAAATAAGGGCAACTAAAAGAACTAAAGTCACTGAGGAAAGAGAAAAGAAGAAAACACTCACGAGAAATCAGAGAGAATAGGGAATAATGCACAAGGTGCTGCAACCAAGCTCACCAGCTCTGCACAGGTCAAGGATGAGCAGAGAACAAGAAGAGAAGCAGAGAACAAGAGCATCAAGAGCAGGCAAAAAGCACTAGGAAAACAATGGAGTCCACTTCTGCATTTTATGAAATATGACAGAAATGAAATACTCAAAAGAATCCAAGTCAAGCAACACTGTTCCGAAGAGTTGCTATCTTTATAATAAATACCATGTTAAGAGCACGTGCTTCATCTTAGCACTGTGATATGAATAGACAGAATTTTAGCCAAGTGTCTCTATCATTAACCTGCTCCTAGCAAATGTAGGTAGAAATATTCTTGAGGGCACATGAGTAGAGTGCAGGCTAGTTTCATGCTTTACAACAAAATAATACATATTTCCCTTCCAAAAAAGGCCTCATCACCTTTTCCTCTTTGGTAGGACTTGGTAATTACAGCTAAATTAATTTTTCTTTAGCAAATGATTTATTCATCAGATAATGTGGCTAGTGGTCAACCAAGACCATTCTTGAAACTGGATGAAATTCAAGCATTTTTTATTAATAAGGTGAATTTGGAGCTAGCACAGAATCTTCCTCCTTTTTATCAGTAAGCAAAATCCTATGTAGGATCTATTGATTAGAAGAGATACCAACAAACGTGTTTTTTTTTCAACTTAGCAACTGTTCAGCATTTTCTTCTAACAGATATATGTTTTACGTACAATACATCAAGCCTTCATCTGACTGTAGAAGTGTAACCAGAAGAAATGAGAATACGTTTTCTGAAGAAGACTTCTGGGTGATGAGTATCTTCCTCTTCTGCACCGACTTATTTTAAAATGATAAATAAAATTCAGATCAAAACAGACGGTTCTGAGTTACAGATGTAAGAGGTCATATTCTTTCTTTAGTTCCTTATTTCAAAATGTACTTCTTCCTATTTGGCCTGCACTGACAATACCTACTGCTGTTTCCATACGTGTCTTTTCTGGAGGTCTTTACCATCACAATCAGCTTTCCCACATTATCCTGTTTCACAAATAAGCCGAGCGCGTGAAGATATCCCCTTAATTTCAACTAAGTGTGTCAAGCACATATGGCTTTCAGGACGAAGCCCCAGATTCTCACTTGAAATCCCATCTGAAACAGATTTCCTTATTTACTTATCCAGCTTAAATGTCACGTTCCCTTCTGAGTAACTTTTCAGACAAAGTATGTAACTTTACCACTTATCTGAGGGTCAGAGCATATACCAAACAGCAGAAAATGATAGAGACTATCAAATTTGGTTCAATTTGTATTTTTATAATACCAGAGGATTCTCTGGGTCTTGAAATCCCAGTCAGGAACTACCACATTTGAGTTCTGTAACTCACCTTCAAGTCTGTCTGTCCAGTCTTATATGAGTTCCTGGCACAAAGGATGTTAGTAGAGGAAATTTTGTAAGTATTCATCAATCTGACAGCAAACAAACAGTGTCCCTAAACTATATGAAGAGGAATCTATAAACCCTGTTGAAGTTGACTAAACAATCATAAAGGAAAGAAAAAGTCACATTGTCGGAGTACTATTAGTAATTGTCTGGAACAATAGAAGTAACTGAGTAGAAATCTTTTAATAATTTAACCATTTATAAATTAAGGATAATTTGCATGGTACATATCATGGCAGTGAAAAGAAAATCATTACTAATTGTAAAATGAATAAAGGTTATAGGGAAACACCAAGTTGTCTTCCTGATTCCTGTTGTTCTATCTGCCATTAGGAGGCTTTATATTGCAATACAACAAACCATAGTAATATCATGTGATCTTAGATGCCCCTAGGATTACACTATATCTTAAATTTCTTAAATTTTCTGAAGGTCCACAGAAGCCAGATCAATAAACTGAAGAACAGCTCAGAACATCACTAGGAAACATTCCAGTATAGCAGCCCCACTGTAAACAAAACAATACATGCTTATTCTGGTACAAGCTACAAGCAATATCAAACTGACCAAAGATGTATATGCTATATATAAATATGTATATATACATAAAATGTGTGTGTGATACATAGTTCTACCACAATAAAATAATTTACCTGAGGGCTTCTTTCTCTCTGTTGTATTTTACAAATTACTTAGCTCAGTAATTCCCACAAAGGATACTTCTTTCTTACAAGATAGGCAGCACAATTTTGGATATGACATACATTTTATTTCAGAACAAGTTAGAATTGGACAAAAACAAGTTCCTAGAGGAAGTATTATCACAGTTTCAAGATGGGCAGATGTGACCACTTCCTTGTTTAATCACGTTTTATTTATAAATAGAGACTTTTCAAATTTATGCTTACCATATATTCAGCAACAACACCTTTGTAAATCTCATAAAATTCTTCCACATTTGCACGCTCCATGTTGAACTACGAAAATAAAAAGTGTTAGTCATTCACATTAAATGGAAAAAAATAGATAGCCCTTCATAACCAGCAAGAATTCAGAATACTATTCTAAGTTCCACCCAGTAAAAGAAATGGCTTTACAATTGTAATATGTTTATCATCCTTTTAGCCAATGGTCCCACACACAAAAGCATAAAGTACCTTCTTCTACCTTAAACATCAGTAGACAATGTACTTCATTTGTAGTGTTGGCTAATGCCACTAAGATCTACAAGAGGATCTGTTTGTTGCATAGGAAAGAGAAGAAACCAGTCTTCATTTCTGGAGTATTTGAATCACAAGGAAATTTCAGATCTGAAGACTTTCAGAAAACACAAAAGGCAGTTCTTATAGGGCTACTCTCCGGAACAATCTCTGTCCAATTCCCTTTAAATTCTGCTGGTGATGAGGATGTCAAACTTTGAAGTGTCTTCAAAAACTCTCCTATAAGTTCACACTAACTGTAAGTTTAAAGACTTGTAGGATGTTAGCAATCTTTTCCCTAATCCTAACTAGTTCAGTTTTCAAAAGATATCTTCAGTGTTCCAGAAAACATCAGCATCACCATGCCCTTTCTAGCCATGTGAAACTGAAACACAGAGATGAAGTCTCTCCAGTCATGGTTGAACAGCAAGGGGAAACAGATCAGCTGATCAACCAAACAATAAAATACAAATATAACAAAGGCAGTACTGATCCTAAAACATAACTACACAGCTGGTACGAGGGTTTTGTATTTCAGGAAGACTGAATCTCTGAATTGCTGTCAAGTGCATATAGCACAGTTCCAGCCTCTGTTTATAAAAAAGATAAAGACAAAAGAAAACCTACCATCTGCAAAGCCGAGATCTGAAATCCTTCATTGATGATGGCTTTTATAATCTTTCCAGCTAGTCCTGAAAAAACACACAAAGTACAGTACTCAAACAAAAGAAGTTAGAATTCCAAAGTATTTATGCTGCCATAACAGTTAAGCCAGTGTCTATGCAAAGCTATGAAAAGAAGCAGGGGGCAAAGCTCCCTATCTAAATACTCTATATTTATGAAATTATAATATTTTTATTGTCTATCTAAAATGATGCAGTAATGATTTTGAACAACTAAATTCTATTCAACTGCTGAAAAATGATTAATTAGGCTCTAGCCAAAAAGGTTGCTGGTGAAGTCTTTTTTTTTCTGAGATACCCAGTAACTTCAAAATCAAGATTTACATCCATACTGAAGTTCCAATACCAATATTTGTAGCTTAAGCAGTAATCAATTCAGGGCATAGGCTACCTATTTTGCAGTCTTACACAGTGTTCACCAGAGCTGGATCCAAGTTTGAACTAGAAACAACGCAGAACAATAATAAACATCAGCACAGAAGTTCATGTCACTATGTGAAAAGCACAGTGAAAAACAGCCCACTGCTTCTGAGGTTCTAACTCACAAATATGTTACTGCTGATCATACTATTTTATGCTATGAATATATGCTCAAAGACTCAATGACACTGAAAAGGAACAAAATTAATTTAATAAAATATTAATATAGGAGAACAAGAACCACTGATTTTCCACTGAATGCGCGTTTCAGATTGCCTGCACTTATACTAATCATGCCATTTGAAAGATCGTGGCAGCTAAGCACAGTACTCTGCTATTTGAGAATTGTAGAGCATTCCTGTTTTTACATAACAAAACTGTCTGCCCTCTAGTACAAACTGTGAGCAACTACAAATTTCTGGACATTGATTCAGAGCAGAGTATTCTGTAATGAATTACAACAGCAAAATTTGACTCTTAATCTTTGAATCCTTTTATTAACTAGTCTCTAAGCTGAAAGTTTTGTTTTTTTTTTTTAATAACATTGCATAAATTCAGTAAATGAAAATAAAATAAAGCTGATATCTAAGTCCTAGCACACTCAAGACCTGAATTGTATACTGTCTGCTAATACCTGCAGCACACAATTGTAAGCTTCCTACATATTAAAAGGTCAGAAGAAGTTCTGAATAAATAAAATAGATACCTGGAAAGAATCATAGAATGACCTGGGTTGAAAAGGACCACAATGATTACATAAGTTTCAACCCCCCTGCTATGTGCAGGGTCGCCAACCAGCAGCCCAGACTGCCCAGAGCCACATCCAGCCTGGCCTTGAATGCCTCCAGGGATGGAGCATCCACAGCCTCCTTGGGCAACCTGTTCAGTGCGTCACCACCTCTGTGTGAAAAACTTCCTCTTAATATCTAAGCTAAACCTCCCTTGTCTCAGTTTAAAACCATTCCCCCTTGTCTTACCACTATCCACTCAACAAACAAACATTTGTTCCCCCTCCTTTTCATATGCTCCCTTCAAGTACTGGAAGCCATAATGAGGTCTCCCCAGAGCCTTCTCCAAGCTAAACAAGCCCAGTTCCATCAACCTTTCCTCATAGGAGAGGTGCTCCAGCCTCTGATCATCTTAGCTTTTAAAGAAGTGTTTTTTACAAATGAAAAAACTTGTGCCTGAAGTATTCATCACAGCATTTTTTAAATCAAGGCTCATGTAAAACCACCTTCCCCCTATAAAATGGCACAATTTTTTTTTTTTTTTAAATATTTAAACTGCTAAAGGGAGTGCCTGAGATTTGGGTATGTATTCAGTGCACGCAGCTCTTGGGGCTTACAGAACAAGTGGAGGTGAGTGCAATTCCTGTTGTCAAAACATACTGTTACATCATGGCCCACTTGCACTGATAAAAATTTCCTTTCAACGCTCACGTAAAGCTAGAAAAATATGTTTTCCCTACTTTTCAAAGGAAGTTTTTAAAAAATGCAGCAGCAAAATGAAGAGACTAAGAAATTTACACAGTAAGCACAAGACTATATAAAAAAGGAAAAACACCTCTAGTTTCTTTTTGTCCACGCTACAGAAAAGGTTGACCAACCCAGTGCATCTACACAAAGGTCTCAGGAAAGCAGCAAGCCTATAACTGTGAACTCAGAAATGAAAGGCCAGCTTGGGAATCCTCCAGGAAATAAAGATATAAATAAGTAATCTGCAACAGAGCATGAAAACTTCCTCATTCTCAGTTTTCAGATACAATATTCCAGTTAACAGCCACTGGCTTATGAGAAATCAAAGACGGAAGAAGGGACAGTGCCAGGCAAAGGGCACTCAAGGTTACGTTGATATGAGAAAGCTGCTTGGCCCAACAGCTGCCCTTCTCCATTGTACACTCTATCAGTAAAGAACAGCCCGCTTGCACAGGCCTTCACAGCTGGCAAGAACACTAAAATACTCATCAAGTATCAGGTTCTGAGGTACCAGGGGGATCTGCTTTTTTAGAATTTTATCCTCAGCCATTTTACACACTGTAAGCAAAATTCCTCTTTTAGACTTAAACATTCAGTTTTCTGGGCTGCTCCTCCACTGAAGTGTTAAGATTTTTCTTCTCTGTAGAGATGGGACAGGCTCCTTTAGTGATAGAAGTCAAATAAAGTAAGAACGTTATTTGCAAAATGGTCTTTAATACAAGATTAGTTTAATATTTAACTGTGATAAACCTATTGAGATTGTCCAGTACCTTGATTTCTGACTTCACTCTCACTCAAAGACACAAAGCGCCAGAACTGCTTAGAACTGCAGCATTAAAAAAGCTTAACCACAAAAATCACTGTCACCATTGCTCACAGACAGATGTCTCTCTCTCTCTCTATAGAGATATGTAAAGGGGGAATGGCTGTTAACATACTACCTATATTATATACTACAAATATTAAAATACATAAAATATAAATACAATAGCATACATAATGATATATATTATATATAATACATAATTATATAATGTATACTTTTAATATATATTTTACATAATTTTTTTATCTATCTATTTACAGGGGTGAATGGTTTTAAATTGAGACGGGAAGTTTAGGCTAGATATTAAGAGAAAGTTTTTCCACACAGAGGGTGTTAACACACTGGAACAGGTTACCCAAGGAGGTTGTAGATGCCCCATCCCTGGAGGCATCCAAGGCCAGGCTGGATGTCGCTCTGGGCAACTTGGTCCAGTGGTTAGAGACCCTGCATGAAGCAGGGGTTTGAAACTAGATGATCATTTTAGTCCTTTTCAGCCCAGTCCATTCTATGATTCTATATGAATATGTATATACCATATAATCTCCTTGAGAGAGTCATGAGATTTCATTTATGCTTGCAAAACAAGATGTTAGCTCCACTTCCCAAAGGCAGGAATCAAGGCACAGGAGGATATATGAGCTGTGAGCCTCCACTTGGCCTCCACTGTCTCAATCTAGGCAACACATGCATCACTTCTCCCAGTGACACCTTCTTTTTAAATTCTATCCCCCAAATAGGAACAAAAAAAAACAAAGGCCATCCTGAAGCAGATGAAACGCACAAGCTCAAGGTTCAGCCTGAGATGTTTCTGGGTTTCAGCCAATTACATGACTGAACTGGGACGTATGCTCTCCTTTGTGGGCAGATAAGGCCAAGGAAAAGAAGAACTAATTAGACAAAGTGTTATTTCAGCAGCTTTTCACAACGTGTTTTCAACTTTAAAATCCAGATATGTCATGGAAAAACAACTTTTTCAACTTTTTAAGGACCCTCCAAAAAGGGCCAGCGCATGTTTAAAATGCGATTACAGTAAGAACCCAAATCAAAGCTGCAGATTAGGCACTAATTATGATGAATTTTTAATCACAACACACCAAAGAATCACAAGTATTACTAAATACAACTAGGGAATTTAATACTAATCCTTACAAATGACAGAAAGAGAGAGAGAGCACTAAGTCTCCTAGAAAGCATTGTTGCTACGCAAATTACACTGGACAAATAATCTTCCAACAGAGTTTAATCAGATGAAATGATAAGGTCTCATCAGTGACAGTTTTCTGCAACACAACATTTGAAAATTGCACTCCATTAAGGAACAGAAAATAGCAGAGAAGACATCAGACTGAAAAAAAGCTACAACTTCTTGCAGAATTATGGATCGGAATAAAAATAAAACAGTTCACAAAAGTCACCTAACAGCACTTTAATTAATGGGATGTAGCAGCTGTGTTCCTGGGATCTGCCAGTCCCAGGCACTACCAACCACCAGCCCTATGACTAAGAACATTACATTCTCTTCCCTTTGTTCTTGGCCCATTTCCCAATGTAACCACTCCACTGTTAAAAGCTTATTAAGGAAGACAGTCTGCCTTCAAAGCAAGTCAGGCATCTCAGTCTCGATGCTTCATTTACTTATTACCCTTCCAATAATTGAAAATAATTCCTCAGGAACAATAGAAGATTTTTCACAGGAATACATAACCTGCCATCAGCAATGATATCAATGATCTACCTAATCCAATAACGTATTTCCAGAGGCAACCAATACAACACACTTAAATTAGCACCAAGTAGCTACTCATTTTGTGTCTGGTTTTTTTTTTTGTTTTTTTTTTTTTTGACATTTTGAAATGCGTTTCTGCTTCACATTATAATGAAAAGAAAAAGGTTATCTTATTCTTTGCTGCGAAGGTTTAAGCTTCTATCCCAGAGGATCATCAGGTTTGGCTCTAAAATCTTTTTTTTCCCCTCCATTTCAAAAGAAGAGAAAGAGGGACTCAGAGCTGGGCCTTCTTGAAATGTATCTCAGCCATAGGTCAACAGTGCTTCAGAGAACAAATTTTATTGGTCCCTTCTCTTATTTTCTACTGACAAATAATGCAGCTCTAAGCATTCTTATTAAGCAGTGTGGATACAATTTCTAAACACCCCAAACCATAATCACAGTGATAGCCCACAGCTTCTGATCTTCCAGCCTCACTGTGTACTGTATGAAAAAGGATTTCCAGATGTTTTTTATTTGCTTTATTCTGGAGCAGCAAAAAGCGGACTACAAGGGGAAAGAT